AAAAAATTAAATCTATTAAAATTAAATAAAGAAAGCATTAATATATTAAGTTAATTTTAGAATTTAAATTTTAAAATTTAACACATTTTTAAACTCAACAAATCGATACAAGAAGCATCTTTAAAATCTTGAGAAAAAATTAGTTTTAAATTACAAGTGAACTAATTCGAGATGTTCAAAAAGAGAAAAGAAAGGGCTATATTTTATAAAATTCTACTCACGAATTGAACGAATGTTTATTCTACTCACGTGTTTGCTTGATTAATGTTTTTTTTTTCTTTTTTAGTACATTTAAATGAATTATATAAAAAGAGATTGTTCTCTCTTTTTTTTAAATCCTTCCCTATTCGATTTAAAATTTAAATTTGTGATCTACAATTTTAAATTTTAAATTTTTAATCATTAAGTCACCTTATTGAGTTATTTTTTTCTTTTATTTACAAAGCATTTGGCGCTTCATTTTCGTAATAGGCATCTTAAAGAGCACGATAAGATGCAAAGTTTGACTTAAACAAACAAAAAATAGTTTTCCCTTAATGTACTACATATAAATTTAGAAAGTTCTGACATTAACCGGCGAGCCGTTCAACAATTTGGTTTTGGCTAAACATATTAATTACTAAAATAGCGGGATACAGCCAACAAAACAAATTTACATGATTGTTTCATATATATATATATAAATATATATAAAGTATAGTATATTTAAACTATACTATATTATTATTAAATAAGATTTAGGTCTTTTGTTATTAAAAGCTCTCTTCTCATCCAATGATTTCTCTTTTATATTATGATATAATTTGAATTGTAAAATATAATTACATATATATATCTAAAAGGTATTTTATAACTTGAATTGTATATATATATATATATATATAAAATTTTTGATCGGCATATTTTCTTGAGATGAATTGAAAAGGAAATAACATTACACAGAGTTGCAAGTTAATTAGTAAGGGAGATTGCCCCATTTCTTATTAACTAAGGTTCGATTATTTAAAGAGAGCAATTAAAAGTTAATTTCTCATCAATTTTTTAATTCTGAACATGAATTGCAAACTTTTGATCTGGTTAGAAAAATATTAATTTTAAGATGAGTGTAACCTAATTTAAAAACATTTGACTACTAAAAATTAAAAAAAAAAAAAAATACTAAGAGTATAACTTATGAGTGTGCTCCGCCCTTGAAAGCTTACCACCACATACGACCAGTATAGAAGCACAAGACTCATAAATCAAGTAAACCACCCAAAGCTCAACTAAACAAACATCATACAAATTCCAACATTTACAGAAAGCAGTGGGGAGGGATTAAATGGATTGGTTCAGAAAGCAGTGTCGGAGGGTACGTTTCGAGGTATAGAGATTGGCAGGAAGGGGTTAGCAGTTTCTCTACTTCAATTCGCGGATGACACAGTCATTATGGGAAAGGCTGACATAGAGAATATAATCCTGGTTAAAACAATTCTGCGATGGTTTGAACTGATGTCTGGTCTACAAATTAATTTCAGCAAGAGCAACATTTATGGATATAATGTTCCAACGAGATGGCTTGAAGGATCAGCAAGTAGGTTGCGATGTGGAGTCGGAAAATCACCTTTTATTTATCTGGGAATGTCTGTTGATGGAAATCCAGGGAATAGGAAACTATGGGAACCAGTGATAAAAAAAATTTCGTGCTAAACTTGCTGTCTGGAAAGCTGCTTCGCTGTCCTTCGGTGGCCGCCTCACTTTGCTTAACTCGGTACTTTATGCTCTACCCATTTTTTATATGTCATTATTTTTAATGCCAAATTTTGTGGTTACTGAGTTAATTCACATTCAAAGAACTTTTTTATGGGGAGGGGGGGAGTTAAAAAAGAAGATTTCATGGGTGAAATGGGAACATGTATGTCGCAGTAGGGTAAAAGGGGGCTTGGGGGTGCAGGATTTGCGTAGGAAAA